TTTGTTGTGCCCCCCGCCAGCGATACCTGAGAGGGGCGTCGGAGTTGGCGTCCGAGCTGGGAAAGGCCCCGATGGCTTCACTAGCCCATATGCGCACGATTATCCACCGGAGAAGAACGGCCAGGCGCGAGGCGTTTGAAGCAATCCGTTTGGTCACCGTCATGGTTGCTGTTTGTTCAACTAGGCGCGGGCGCCGCTGCGTTTGCTGCTGCTAGTTGCGAAGATGCTTGCCGCCAGCCACTGATCATCAAGAGGGGGGCAGTGTGTCAGGTTCTCGGTGAGCTCCCAGGTCGACTTCGATGTTTCTTGCCCGCTCGATTCGAGACCTCCCGCCGCTGCTCGCCGCGTTGTTGGAGCCCTGCGCGCGCTGCCTCAGGGCTGTGAAGCCCAGGGGCGCGGGCCACTCTGGTCGACAACCTCTCTCGCTGAGTGGAGCAAGCCAGCTCTCCAGGGGGGCCCACAGAAGGTTGCGGGGGCGTCGGTTGAGGGATGCGCCCAGAAGGCGTCAGACCCTGGGGGCTCCCTTATCGGATAAGGGTGTCGTGCGCGCAGGCAGTTGACTTACTGTGGCCATGGCTCTTCGGCGCGGGCGCCAAGCAGGCGCGCGCCCACTGGGCCGGCCCCAGCGCGAAAGCGCTATGGGGCGCTGCTGTGGCTGGCGTACCAGACGGGCGACTGCGCGCGTTGCGGCTGGCTGCTGCCATGGCTGCTGGCAAGTGCGGCAATGGTTCATCGGTGGACCTCGGCCTCCAGGTCCATCGTGCCGGGTGGCGCCAGGACCCTGCGGTCATCTTGGCGGGCCAGGTGGCGCAGGCTCACGCCCGGATGCGCTGGTCAGGCCAGCTTGCTTCGACGGTGGCCCCCTCCTGCCTGTAGTCGGCCCTTGACACGCAGGCCAAAAAGTCTCCGTGGCACAGCGTGAAGGACCCGAAATCAGCGCCAGTGCTGACGATGGCGCGTTTCGATTGGCACTTCTTGGGCGACGATGCCGATTGCATTGTCGCGGAGCAGGGCGTCCCCTGGTCCGTCTTGCGCTATTCGCTCGCCTTCTTCGCGCGGCTGGCTCAGGAGGCGGCCAGGCGGCAAGTCGGAATTGCCGATGCCATCAACGGCAGTTCGGAGCACTGGACATGGCGGCCCCCTCCAGCCTGGAGCCCTCTGCAAGAGCTCCCGCGGGAGAAGGCTACTCCTTGATGGGGCCAGCCCGCAGGAACGTCGCGCGCAGGCTGCTCAACCGCTCTGAGTGGTGCCAGGCCCGCCTCAGCAGGAAGCAACCGGGTCTGTCGCCGCTGAGCGCGCATTGTGGGAGGGCCGAGGGTATTCTCCACCATCGGCGCTTCAGCTGCGATGCCCTGGCTGCTGTTCGTAGGGACCTGGCCTCTACAGCGGCGCTGCAGGCCGCGAGCAAGGGAAAAGCTCTTCGGCGAGCCTTTCTCTGAGCTCTTTGCGAGGGGGTATTTTGCCGAGTTGGCGGATTTGCTGCAGCGTCCTCCCTGGCGGCCGCAGTGGGCCTGGAACCGCGCAGGCTGGCCTACAGAGGGGCTCGTCGCCGGCGCCGGCTGGCAGGTATTCACCGACGGCTCGTGCCTCCACAGCCGGCGCCCCCGTCTGGGATTTGCTGGGTGGGCCGTTGTCGCGCGCGACGCCGAGGGCCGCGAGGTAGCGGAGGCCTGGGGCGCAGTGCCGCCGGCCGAAGGGGTGGATGGCGAGGACTATGCGGTGTCAGTGGCTGCCACGCACATGGCAGGCCAGCACGCCCTCAACATAGACTGCAAAAGCACAGCGCGTGCTGCCCAATGCCCCGCCAAGGCTGCTGGCCCGCAGTCGCCGAAGGCTCACCTCTGGAGCCCTATTGCGGAGGCTCTCGCAGAGGTCGCCGTTGTGAAGGTGCCAGTCCACTGCAGCGAGAAGCACGTTCGCGATGGCCTCCTCACAATGCGACAGCTCGATGGCAACAGGCGGGCGGACCTGCTCACGAAGCGTGGGGCTGCGCTCGGTGCGGGCTCTCTCTGCGACTTGTGCTCCTGGAGGGCCACTATGACCAGATCAAGAAGGTGGCACGCTGCTCAGCCCAGGCCTGCCAATACCTGTCCACGCACAGGCTGGGGGACACTCGCGGCCTCCAGCAGCTGAGCCGGGTGGAGCTGGAGCCCATCCCTTCGCTGCAGCTTGCCATCCAAAGCGCCATCGATGAGGAGGCTGGTGTGGCGGCGGCCAGCGCGGCAGCTAGCAGCAGCTCGGCGGCGGCGACGCGGCCTCTGGCGCAGACTCTTGAGGCCGGGGAGGCCCTCCCAGGGAGCCGGAAACTGGGGCCAGTTTCCGCCTCCAGCCCCTCCTAGGAGCGAGAAATTGGGGGGAATTTTCCGGCTGCAGCTGGGGCCGCGCTGGGGGCGGCCAGCGGAGTGCCTCCGATGGCCTACCAGCTGGCGCCTGGAAGTGTTTCCCCCAGCAGTCGCGCCAGCGGGGACGGCCTTCGAGGTTGCCTGGGGCCTGCGGCGGCTAGTCCGTGGAGAATGGCCCGGGCAAGGTGCTGGTCTGTGCTAGTTGTTTGTTCGCGCGCGCGCCTGGCATGGCGCGCGGCCTCAAGAAAGCCAGTCCTCCAGTGAAGGTTTTGAAAGGCTCGCGGCTGCAGGCCAGGAGCGACATCATGCAGGGCCTGCTTCCACCTTCCAACAAGAGCTACGCGAAGTTGCCCATCACAGGAAGCGAGGGTACGCTGGGCTACGGCTCTGGGGAGCGGGCAGGCCAGCGGTGGCCAGGATGGCGCTCCTGTGCCGCCTGAGCGAGCAGCTGCAGCAGCAGCTGCTGGCCGCAGTCAGCCGCCAGTGCCGCAGCTGGGCACGGAGGGCGTGATGCCCGTCGTGGTCGCGGGCGCCGCGACGGAGACTGCCCCAGAGCATGTGTCCTTCGGCGCCAGGCCGCCCTGCGTGGCCGCCTTGCTGCGAGGCTGCTGGCTTCGCCAACCAGGCGGAGGCCGAGCAGCGTGGGCGAGCCGCGCTGGCGCGGCGTCCGGCGGAAGAGGAGAATTCCAATGAGGAGTGCGCCCCATCGGTGCGCCTTGCCAGCATGACATGCTCTTTTGTTTTTTCTCTCTCTCTCTCTCTTTCTCCTCTCTCTCACTCTCTCACTCTTTCTCTTCCTCCCGAAATCCTGTTGCTTTTCGCATATGTCGACAAAATATATCAATGGCCGATCCCCAGTTGGAGTTCCACTGGCTCCCAGGCGCTTGCTTCCTGATCCAAGTAATCCCAATCCAATGCCCTCGCCGCACCCTGGGGTCATCAACGGCGACCTCCTGATGGTACCCATCGTGTGCTGCTAGAGTCCTGTCGCCGTTCTCGCATGCTTCAATTGTAAATGTCGTAGCGTTCTCACAGGGATGGTGGCTCCAAGACGTTATCGGATGTTACTGTTTTCGGTTCAAACAGCTGTTAGCTGCATGTTCGTGATGTGTAACTGTTAGTTGTAAGGGGATGTTGACGGAGATCGGGAATAACATCGTAATATACAAGAGAAAAGATCGGGAAGGGAGCGTGCATGCCGAACATGTTTGATGTTTAGGGTTTCCGGTTGTCTGGCAAGGAATATGAGCTGTTTTCTTGTCGAAAGGAAGAAGGATGTTCAGGGGTCTCATAGGGGTGGTGTTCTCAAGACGTTTTCTTATTGTCATGGTATTGTGTGCTTCATGGCAACAATGTCTTATTGCGTGTAGTTGTATATGCTCCCATTGGCTTCCATTGCAGACGCGTTTGCAAGAAGCCCGCATCAACATTTACATCAGCGTTCGAATTAAGTTGCGGTTTCAAGCTCTAGGGCTTGCATTTGTGAAGATGGAATCCCCCGTGCGAGAGAAGAAAGTACAGTAGACGAGGAGAGGAAAAGGGAGGATGAGGAAGGTTTCTGTGGGGGGTACCAGATATGTATGTAGGTGTGTATATATATATATATATATATATATATGTACACATGCATATACGTATCGTGAAGTGTGTGTGTGTGTGTCTAGATATTTGTATGCGTATACTCCGATCGTTCTCGAGCGACCGTCTGCCGCGGCCGCCACCGAGCAATGAGGTGCGTGTGGCGAGGGGCTTCGTTTGCGTGTGTATGTGTGTGTTGGCTCGGCGACATGGCCATGCGGTTGGGTCTGGTCTTTCCAGCGGCATTCCCTACGTGATGTGTGAGATACCACCAGTGCCTTCAGAGATGGGGCGCCGAAAACGGGCCGCCGGGACCTTGACCCACTTGTCCTGCACCGAGCCGCTGGCGGGGAAGGGCAGGCTGAGGCAAAGCAGGGCAGAGCGACCTGGAGGCGCAGGCGGTTCACGCGAGAGGCATGAGAGCGATTCTGGGCCTGAGGGGGCTTTGGATTCCGCTTCATCGAACAAAGATCGAGCACAATTGCCTGTAGTCGTCATGAGGTCGTAAGGATTGCACTGCATAGCCCAGTAAAATATTACAGCCGCTTGCTGCACTCGAATGCAGGGGGGATGGGCGGAGTGTGACCCGGCATTTTGGGATTGACGGGAAAGTCTTGAGTTTGTTTCTTGAGCCAGGAGGTTACAGAGCTGCGCAGCAAGCGGCTGCAATCATTTGCTTGCCCGAAGGGGGTGCCTGGCGGGGGGGAAGGGACGAGGATCAGGAGGCGGATTCCAGGATTCCAGGGTGGCCTCGCGCGCTCCCACGAAGAGGCACGAGGCCCAGGCGGCGGATCAGGGGGAGGAGGAGGAGGAGGAGGAGGAGGAGGAGGAGGAGGAGGAGGAGGAGCGACCATTGAGAAATGGCTGGGAAGAGGGAAAGGGGGGAGGGGAGAGGCAGAGGGAAGAGCAAGGACAGCAAGAGGGGAGGGGCAGAGCGAGGAAGAGTAGGAGGAGGAGGAGGAGGAGGAGGAGGAGGAGCAGGTGGAGGAGGGAGATTGGCGGGACAGTGTTTCCACAAAGGGCGAGATCGACGGCTGGAGGAGGGTCCTGCTCTGTGCACTCTCGCCGCAGCGACGGCAGGAGGGGCTCCGCGCCATCGACGAGGCGGTGGCGGCCGGTGGCCGGGTCTTCGTGCACTGCCACGAAGGCGAGCAGGAGTCAAGTAGTGGCGAGGCGTCCTGGTTTGCCGATGAGCCCACCGAATAATGGCATAAGACCCTGCGGTGGTTTGCACGAAATGTGTTGAGACCATTTCTGGCCGAGAGCGTCTTGCTTTGATACGGCGGCTGTATGGTCTAAGAACAGTGTCTGTGTCCTTTGAACATGATCTTGTTCTAAGAAGATCCCGTGGTAGGCCTCAAAGGAGAGGTTGGGAGCAGCGAAGGAGCGATTGCAGGCGCCCATGTCGAACCGATCGGTCCGATTCGAAGTCGATTCTGGTCGGCTGGATCCTGCCCGATTCCGATCTCCCGGCGGCCTGACGCGGCCCGATGCCTGCATGGCGTTGTTGCGCGTCTAGGCGCAGCTGGTCCAGGTCGGTCTCGGTCTCGGCTCCTGGCCGATGCAGGCCGTTCCGATTCTCGTCCCGATCCGAACCGACCGCGCCGTTCGATGCTGGTTGATCCTGTAATGTGGATCTGGAGACGGAGGGTCACGGAGTTCCGCCGCCAAGAAATACCACACATCCACAGCTTCGGAGTCGTGCCCGGGAGCCTCGAGGACCTTTCCAGAAGCGGCGTATGCGGATAAGGCCGGAATTTTTGGTTCATCGTGTTCTTCCCTTGCCCACTTCGGCGCGACACGCTAACTACGTCGCGGTTCCCCTGGCGTCCAGTCTCAGAGCATTCCCCCGCCTCCCGCCCCGCGGAGCTGTGCCACACGCCATCCACTTGCATGGCCTAGCGGGTCGCCGCGACACGTTAAGCAACAGTCCCCGACCATATATTTTTGATTTTGAGTGCGGAAAGACATCGACATCCACCACATGGAGTGGATTATTGTCGCATGCGCGCGGCTGGTTTCGATCTCGTGGGTCCCAGCAGGACGTTTCCGACTGGCCAGAGTGCGTCTCGTTGCCGCCCAGACGAGACTTGTCCCGGCGCTCGCAGCGACAGGAGCAAACGTACCATGAGATGATGGCTCACGGAGCGTTAATTTGTGGTCGGCCCTCTGGAACTTCTTTTTTCGGGGGATCGCGAGGGTTGTCAGCAGCCAGCGGGAATGTTGAAGGTCCAGCTGGGAATTTTCGCGTTGACACCACTCACAGCCGTGCGCCGCCACAGAACGGAGCAAGAGACAGTGGCGCTCGCACGTATGTGGAGAAAGACGAACAGATAATAGGAGGGATGGGTGCGCCACGCAATGTACGAGGAGTGGCGGGGGAGCTGGAGAGGGCATGGTGCAGAGGGCACGATCGCCAGCATCGAGCGGTTAAGTGGCAGGGTGGATTTCAAAATGATGTCATTGACGACTCGCGCAGCCCCATCAGCTCATCCAGAAACGATTCAGATGCTCGTCGCGAAAAGGGTAGCGCAGGATCACGAGCGACGTCGAGAGGGAACATGCCGCATGCCAGTCGATTCGAAGCTAGGAACATAGCGGCGTCTCGTTCTGAAGACCATCTCCAGCCAGCTGTTCCAGAACATCAGAACGTGGCTTGCAACACAGATGCATCTCCCTTGTCCGTTGATTACAGCTTGTCGGGTGGGTAATTTGTCGATCGGTGTGTGTGTGTTGGGCGGATTCACGTCGTTGCCATGTCATGAACTGACATCAGACGAATCCCCCAAGGTTTCTGAGGTTGGCACGTCCCGAGACGGCCGTTCCTGAGCTCCGCCGAGCGTGGCTTCCTTTGAGACGGGGGGGGGGGGGCGGAATTGAAGATCCTCTAATCAGTTCTCTCTTCCTCGTCCACTGCCCTACAAATATCGAGGAGGAAGCTTGATCTCGTTGATCCCTGTCGGCCTCCTTTTGGTCGTGATTGCGTCTCGACGTTTATCGTCCTCCTCATTCCTGCTCCTGCTACTTCTGCGGTTTTTTTCTCGTGCCCCCTCCCTTCCCCATCCTGCATCTCTCTCCCCCCCCACACGCCGCTTTCCTCCTTTATTCAAGTGTGCGCTTCCCACCTTCCCCCGCCGCCCGCCCCCCCCCCCACCCCTCCTCCTCTTCCTCCTCCTCCTCCTCCTCCTCCTCCTCCTCCTCCTCCTCCTCCTCCTCCTCCTACTCCTATCCTTATTCCTTATTAGAATATACTCCTACTCCCCCCTCAGGCCGGCCATTAGGGGCCGCATCCGGGTGGTCCCATCCTAACCTGTAAAAAACAATACAAAATCAACATTTTTCTTATTTTTTCCTCTCGACATGGACGTCCTGTCGTCCACGGCGATAATCCATTGCAAAAAATACCACAAAGAGCACACGCGCGCGTTCATGTCAGAATCCTACCGAACACCGTGTGTTTGCAAGCATTTCAACATAAAAACATCAAAAACCCAATGCTTTTTCACACAAATTGTACAAATTTCCCGCCCGGGCTCTCTTGCTGAAATCATAGGAAAACCATAGGAATCTTAAGAATTCGGTCAAATCCAGCGATTTCACGTCATCGCGCGGTGCACTCGCGATGCTCTGTCATGCACCCAGGCCGCGAATCCTGTGCAAAAAATACCACAAAGAGCACACTCGCGCGTTCATGTCAGAATCCTACCGAACACCGTGTGTTTGCAAGCATTTCAACATAAAAACATCAAAAACCCAATGCTTTTTCACAAAAATGCTTTGGGGTGTCCTGTCAGACCGTCGGGCTTCCTCCGGCCACCTCTGGCTTCCTGCGGTGTACCGGGCCATTCTCGACTCGTCTGGCAATGCGTGCGCGGCATTCAACACGCGCTCGCCAGTTCCCGTCGGCAACCGCCATCGCGGCCGCATCAGCTGTACCAAACCGGCTGGCCGGTGTGACTTCGGCCCCCAGTTGTGCCAGCTTTGCTTCTTATGTTGTGGGAGGGCGGGTGGGACTGGGCATGCCATGCTTGACTCGCTCGAGCTGGCTAGCTTGACTCCTACTCCTACTCCTACTCCTATCCTTATTCCTTATTAGAATATACTCCTACTCCCCCCTCAGGCCGGCAGATAGGGGCCGCATCCGGGTGGTCCCATCCTAACCTGTAAAAAACAATACAAAATCAACATTTTTCTTATTTTTTCCTCTCGACATGGACGTCCTGTCGTCCACGGCGATAATCCATTGCAAAAAATACCACAAAGAGCACACGCGCGCGTTCATGTCAGAATCCTACCGAACACCGTGTGTTTGCAAGCATTTCAACATAAAAACATCAAAAACCCAATGCTTTTTTTCACAAAAATTGTACAAATTTCCCGCCCGGGCTCTCTTGCTGAAATCATAGGAAAACCATAGGAATCTTAAGAATTCGGTCAAATCCAGCGATTTCACGTCATCGCGCGGTGCACTCGCGATGCTCTGTCATGCACCCAGGCCGCGAATCCTGTGCAAAAAATACCACAAAGAGCACACTCGCGCGTTCATGTCAGAATCCTACCGAACACCGTGTGTTTGCAAGCATTTCAACATAAAAACATCAAAAACCCAATGCTTTTTCACAAAAATGCTTTGGGGTGTCCTGTCAGACCGTCGGGCTTCCTCCGGCCACCTCTGGCTTCCTGCGGTGTACCGGGCCATTCTCGACTCGTCTGGCAATGCGTGCGCGGCATTCAACACGCGCTCGCCAGTTCCCGTCGGCAACCGCCATCGCGGCCGCATCAGCTGTACCAAACCGGCTGGCCGGTGTGACTTCGGCCCCCAGTTGTGCCAGCTTTGCTTCTTATGTTGTGGGAGGGCGGGTGGGACTGGGCATGCCATGCTTGACTCGCTCGAGCTGGCTAGCTTGACTCCTACTCCTACTCCTACTCCTACTCCTCCTTCTCCACCATCGTCGCCACTTTGGCTCAAGATGATTTCGCCCCGTGGCACAGCACGGATATCCTTGGTCCAGGGGCAGCGAAGGACCAATTTCCCACGCCACGCCTTCCAGCTGCCCCGCTGGTTGTGCTTCAGATGCGGCTCTGCATTCGCCTGCAGCAGCCTTTTACGCGCGATATCATGTGACTGGCGCGGGCCGCTGTGTATCTCCATGGGAACGCACGTTTTCCCCAAGCAGCAGGACCACTCGCTCTCCTTCCCAGAGGACAGCATCTCGACTGGCAAACGTCAACAAGATCCATGGCATGACGGTGCAGCGAAGCCCGCAGTGCATGACCTACCCGCTTACGTTCGCAAGCAGCTGGAGGAGACCATGGCCGCCCAAATCGCCGACGCCAGCGCCAAGTTCGAAGCCACAGCACGTGCTGTCACAACACAAGCCAGCCACGACTTCTTCGCCTCCATCACGAAGATCACGTCCGAGCCCAGCCAACGTCACGAAGCCACCGAACGCAGCATCCACAGCGTCACGCAGCGCGCCAACGACTTCAAGAAACAGAGCGTCGGAACGCCGAACTCAGAACCGCCGTCGCCAAGCTTGAATCCATCGTCACAGCCGCAGAAAGACGGGCACCCGCGCTCAACCTCGAGGGCCTTGGCACGCGGGACAGGGACCCCGACCCCACAACATTCTGGCGCAGCAGTCCACAGGAGTTCAACCAGCCCGAGCTCGAGCGCGCCGTCGCAGATTAGTTTACCAAAGCCGAAGTCACCAAAGACATGGTCATCTTCAACACCGTCGGCCCCGCCAAGCGCCACTCTGTCCAGGTCAGCGGCGGCACCGTCGTGGCAGAACTTCGTGCTCAGCGTCTTCACAGTGCTCTCCGCACCGGAAAAGAATGGCGCAGTCTAATTATCGCTCTGGGCACTGGTGTTCATGTCCCTCTAAATGTATCAGCAGACAAAAGCCCGAAAACCGCCCGCACAGAAGTTCAAGTCAAACGCCTCGCCAACATTTCGCAGAACGCCATCCCCGACGCCGGCCTCCGCGCGCACAGGACTCTTGGCTACATGGCTAATCGTGGGGACGCTCTGGTTCGATTGCTCATCGGCTCCCGAGCTGACGGACCCACCAGGATTCAGCGGTCCAGCGCTGCCATGGACCGTGGCTTCACCGAAGACAAGCAGCGACAGATCAACGCCGAGTT